TCCCACAGATCGTATGCAAAACCTAAATCATTGCTATAAATTTTTTTTTAGTAAGCATACAGCTTGAGTGTTTAATATAATGTTCAGCTAAATTAATTTTTTTCATGTGACTTTCACTTGTTTACATGCTTGCTGTAACATATTTCAGGATTGTATTACAGGTTGCTCATTAAGTGTTCTTGCATAGCAAGGAACACTTATTGTTATCTCACAAGTATATTCTTATTATTATAGCAAATTTGCCACGCTAACTCCTCCCACAGTTTTTACACTACAAAGACAAGTAATATATCAAAACGTGCGGATTGTTCCCGATCGGATTGCTATTACTTTGTGGAACGTTTCGCCAAATCGTTCACGAAATATCGCGGTTTTTGTGGCAAAATTTTCCCATAGGAATGCATTGAGCAACTAGAGTGAGAAATGACAAAGCTACAGGGTGTAAGGAAAAATCAGAACATGATTTGTAAACTGCCATCACTCTTTCATTTTCAAGCCCACCTACACATATCTTATATCAAAACGTTCAGCTAACCCTGCTGTCACTAAAAATGTTCACGGCTAGGACATACTCTTGATAGTTTTCAGAATATGACCATTTGTTTGCACATCACCCCTCCCATTGACTTTCATTGAAACTCCACTGTAGACACCAGACATTTTAAAGGACGTTTTTAAACTGCGACTGTGCCTTCATTTTTTATCTTTCAGAGACATACTATACATCAAACTGTAGGTATTTTTCTTGTGATTGTCACACTATCAACCTTTTCATGGTAGCTTTTATACTTTTAAAACTACAAGCGTTTGAAGATGGCAATCGCCAGTGAACTTGCCAAGTTTAAAAAGCCTGTTCAGAGCACAGCTAATGACATTCCTGACAGAGTGAGTTTCTCTAGCAACCAAACATGACTCACACGCAGCTGAGTCACACAGGCTGGACTGTGAGATGGTAAATACAAGCTGAAATGCATTTCTCCCTCTGTCAGGCTTGCAATGTGCACTGCTTACATGTCATCATTACTTGGTAAAGGATGCCGCAAGAACACTTTACACAATTTCCCCAGAAATTGTAGATTTTCTAGTTACTTTTGCTCTTTAGAGCTGAACTCCAGGCAAATAGCTAAATACAAAGATGAAATGCATAAACCACAGTCCTCAGATTTTCACACCTCTGACCCATAGCATAGACCTGTCTGGCAGGGTAGGAGACCTGATGCAATTTCACATTGACTTACACTATGTCCCCTTTTTACCCACAGTCTGTAACTGTACAGTAAAACGAGAAGCAGTACACTGAGGAGCTCATCTCTCTGGTTATCTGGCATCTCCTATCAACATTCTGCTTGTATTGCATCACACCTGGTTGGCTGTTTGTACTGCTTCTCCCTCCCCATTTCTAAGTTTGTTGTACAAACTATACAAAAGATTGCAAGAGGCTTATTCTAAATTAGATTTACGTACTATGATATTTGTGGGGGTTTCACTCAAATGTTCAGTCCAGCCAGAAAATACTGTTTTAGAGCTTATTGACCCACTGGCCCACTTTGATATTTTTCTTTAACAAAATAGTTACCCTCACAGAGGTTTCCATCATCACTTCAAACATAACAAAAAATGACATCAAGCCTCCTGGCTTCCTCTAGCAGCGCCACTGTTCAGGCCTCAAGCTTAGGTCCTGGGTCTTGTCCCTCAGACCGTCTCTCAGCACCACTGTGCTCACGTGCAACTCTGCACCTCTTGGCTTTCTCTTGAAGCTCCATGCTGCTCGAATCCATGCCCTGGCCTCTGGGCAGGGGACCTCCTGTCGACAGCCCTAAACTACAGACAGGCCATTGATTATAAAGGCTGTGCATACTTTCCCACTCAGCCTGCTGTATCTTTCTTTGTATCCTTCTTACAAAGTTGTGGATGTTAACATTCCAGAGTAGTAGACTGCGTCACAGGGGCTGCCAAGCCTCTAAGCTCCTGAGTCGCTGCACATTCTCACTTGCCCTTGCATCCTAAGCCACGCCTCTCTGTTGCGTTGCGTCCTCTGGACTTTCGCAAAGTGAAGTGCAGTTTTATTATACATATAAAAATAGAGGTGGTATGCATCATGAAGTTTCTTTTGTCCCTATGAGCTACCTTGAGAACCTCTTGCACCAGTGCACTCATGTATTGGAAGCAAAAAAAACCAAGGAGCCAGGTGGAGAGAGAGACGTTATTCCAGGAGTCATATGCAATTGGAATGATACTGACCTTTGAAAACAGAAGGTCCTTCTAGTAAGATGAGAGTCCACCTGAATGGGCAGCACAGTGGCTAAGTGGTTAGCACTTCTGCCTGGCAGTACTGGGGTCGCCAGTTCAAAATCCCAACCACGGCACCACCTGCCTGGAGTTTTCATGTTCTCCCTGTGCCTGCGTGGGTTTCCTCTGGGTACTCCAGTTTTCTCCCACACTCCAAAGACATGCTGGTAAGTTAATTGGCTCCTGTCTAAATTGGCCCTAGTATGTGTATGTATGAATGTGAGTTAGGGACCTTAGATTGTACACCCCTTGAGGGTTAGGGACTGCTGCGAATGTACAATATACTGTATATGTAAAGCGCTGCGTAAATTGACAGCGCTATTTAAGTACCTGAAATAAAAAAATAATGGGAGGTGCTGAGAGCACAGTGGAGAGAGGGGAAGAAGGTGCACTGATTTTCACAATTTAAAAAGAGATAATTAGAGATAGTTGTTTTGCTGTGGAATATTTTGGGGAACGCTTAATGGTTTGATGTGAAGCACTTTCAAGTAAAATGACACTTTATATATTATATATATATATATATATATATATATTGTGGCAGTACGGTATCCTGCCACGGTGGAAATCATGATGGACACCCAGGATTCTCAACTATACAGGTTGAGGGGCTCCAGGCAGATCTCATAATGCAGAGGAAACTGATAAACCAGTGGTTTGGTTTGTAAAGCCTGTTTTGGGACCTGTAGCCTGGAGATTTCTAAGAGAATTGGGAGGGATGAAATCTCCAATCCTGGGCCCATATTTTGGGAGCAGCCAGTGCGCTGATTGCACAGGTGTGTGCAGGCCTTTTTGTGGAGGCCAGGCCATGATTCTGGGCTCCACCCCGGCAGTTAGGAGTCAGGAGGGCTCCACCCTGGCAGACGGGAGGTCTCTGCCTTGGCGACAGGTGGAAGCCAGACTAGCTGTGTGCTAGTGCCATATTTTGGGAAGACTCTGCAGGAGACAGAGTTAAAACTGTGTACAAGCCAGGAGGCTGAATTTTGTTTTGTGTGATGGTGGATACCCCTGCGTGGGAAGCATTTGTGTTTCTGAAACTTTTCCTTTAAATAAAATTGGGCAAAAAGGCCCTTAAAAAAGAAGCGAGTTGCCGTGTCCTTTGAAGAAGCTCTACCACTAATAAGCGAGTTCCCACAATATATATATATATATATATATATATATATATATATATATATATATTAAAGGAGCACAGAGACACTTTGAAGCTTATAAAATAACTACTTTATAGTTATTGATTTATTCTTGTATTAATAAAGTAGTACACTTTTATCTTTTATTATTTTATCTACTTTGGTATTAAGTTAAGTGTCACAATTTTGTTTATTATTTTTACATTAAAATGTTACTAAACCCACAACAGTAAAATCATGTGTATATTCAGTAAACCATGCTTGTTATACTCACTGTGGAACCTTAGAGGTTAATTCTCTGCATTGTGTAAAAATGGTGTTTGATCCTGACTTATCTGATCCTCCCCTTTTTCTAGCGTCCCCCTTATTTCCTGATAAGACATATCGTGTGGAGACAGTCTGCACATGCTCAGTTTGGTGTGTATTGCTAGAGAGGTTTTTTTTTTTTTCTTGGGAGAATGTATGCGATCAGCACAAGGCCAATCAGCACTGCCCAGACAGAGGTCAGGGGTTCTGCATCCTGCTAGATAAAACTCCTTATACAAGTTTTAACTCGTGCTCTGCTGAACACTAATAGAAGTCACAAGCCTGCTTTAACTGCTGATGAGAAAAGGTATTTAGCAGTTTTTATTTACTAAAATAATTGAATATCCATGTAAGTGTACTGTGGGAGACCAGATATAGTGAATGCAGGGTCCTGGGTTTAAAAAACACTTTAATTAAGTAGCATTATTTTTATTGGTTAGAATCACAAATATAAATAGGGGAGAACTACTTCAGTATATTAATTGTATATATGAAATATATATACAGTGAAGGAAATAAGTATTTGATCCCCTGTTGATTTTGAATGTTTGCCCACTCACAAAGAAATGATCAGTCAAAAAATCAAATGGTAGGTGTATTGTAAGACTGAGAGACAGAATAGCAACAAAAAATTCAAAAGAAATGCATGCCTAACAAATTATGCACTGATTTGCATGTTCGTGAGGGAAATAAGTATTTGATCCCCTATCATTCAGCAGGATTTCTGGCTACCAGGTGTCTTTCATACAGGTAACAAGCTGAGCTAAGAAGCAGTCTCTTAAAGGGAGTGCTGCTAATCTCATTTTGTTACCTGTATAAAAGACACCTGTCCACTGAAGATCTGAATGATGCAGAGGAGGACTGGTTGAAAGTGTTGTGGTCAGTTGAGACCAAAATCGAGCTCTTTGGCATCAACTCAACTCGCCGTGTTTGGTGGAGGAGGAATGCTGCCTATGACCCCAAGAACACCATCCCAACTGTCAAACATGGTGGTGGAAACATTCTGCTTTGGGGGTGTTTTTCTGCTAAGGGGACAGGACAACTGCACTGCATCAAAGGGATGATGGACGGGGCAATATACCGTCAAATCTTGGGTCAGAACCTTCTTCCCTCATCTAGGGCATTGAAAATGGGTCGTGGATGGGTGTTCCAGCATGACAATGACCCAAAACACACGGCCAAGGCAACAAAGGAGTGGCTCAAGAAGAAGCACATTAACCACCTCCCGCCCGCCATATAGTAATATGATGGGCGCAAGGTGGTTCTATCGTTCTGGGAGGACATCATATGACATCCTTCCAATCTCACTGCGCATGTGCGGTTCAGGGTGCGCGCAGCGCGGCAATCGGCGGTGCGCTGTGTCCCTCGGACACAGAGGATCACCGATCACGGAAAGAGCCAAAGATGTCGGCTCGGTAATGTGATCAGCTGTGTCCAATCACAGCTGCTCACATGTAAACAGGGAAATGCCGGTTATTGGCATTTCTCTCCTCTCGAGCTGTCACGCTGACAACTCGAGAGGAGAGGAGAGCTGGTAATTGGCTTTCCGCGGAGGGGACATGTACACTGATCATCAGGGCACTGATGATCAGTGTAGCCCCAGCAGTGCCACCTGTCAGTGTCCATCAGTGCATTATGTCAGTGCTCATCAGTGCCTCGTGCCAGTGCCCATCAGTGCCACATATCAGTGCACATCAATGCCACACATCAGTGCCCATCTGAGCTGCCTTTCAGTGTCACCCATCAGTGCCAGTCAGTGCCACCTATCAATGCCAATCAGTGCCGCCTATCAGTGCCAGTCAGTGCTGCCTATCAGTGCGCATCAGTGCCACCTATCAGTGCCAGTCGGTGCCACCTGTCAGTGCCGCCTATCAGTGTCATGTATCAGTGCTGCCTTTCAGTGCCAATCAGTGATGCTTGGCACCTACCAGTGCCTCCTCATCCATGCCCATCATTGCCACCTATCGGTGCCTATCAGTGCACCCTCATTAGCGCACATCAGTGAAGGAGAAAAATCACTTATTTACAAAATTATATAACAAAAACTAAGAAAAACATTTTTTTTTCAAAATTTTCAGTGGTTTTTGGTTTGTTTAAGAAAAAATAAAAAACCCAGAGGTGATTAAATACCAACAAAGTAAAGCTCTGTCACAAAAAAAATTATAAAAATTTCATATGAGTAGAATGTTGTATGGCCGCGCAATTGTCATTCAAAGTGTGACAGCTCTGAAAGCTGAAAATTGGCCTGGGCATGAAGGGGGTATAAGTGCCCTGTAGGCTAGTGGTTAAGGTCCTGGAGTGGCCTAGCCAATCTCCAGACCTTAATCCGATTGAAAATCTGTGGAGGGAGCTGAAAGTTCGAGCTGGAAAATGTCAGCCAGCAAATCTTAATGACTTGGAGAGGATCTGCCAAGAGGAGTGGGCCAAACTCCCTCCTGAGATGTGTGCAAACCTGGTGACCAACTACAGGAAACGTCTGACCTCTGTGATTGCCAACAAGGGAATTGCTACCAAGTACTAAGTCATGTTTTGTGAAGGGGATCAAATACTTATTTCCCTCATGAACATGCAAATCAGTGCATAATTTGTTAGACATGCATTTCTTTTGAATTTTTTGTTGCTATTCTGTCTTACACCTACCATTCGATTTTTTAGGCTGATCATTTCTTTGTGAGTGGGCAAACATTCAAAGTCAGCATGGGATCAAATACTTTTTTCCTTCACTGTATATGTTTTATATGAAAATGTATTTTATAGTATAGGTACAGTATTTATTGATTTAGGAAGCCCTGCACTATTTTTCTTGATTGTTCTTTATACTGTGATTTAGTGATTGCACGGGGGAGAACGGCTTCCACAAATATTTTTATAGGATTAGAAGCAGTGAAGGTGAGCTCATTACCTGTGCTGGACATAGATGCTGCAAACAGACCAGCTCTGTATGGCTGTCGGGCCTGATATGCTGATACAGTTGCAAGAAAAAGTATGTGAACCCCTTGGGATTACATGGAGTTTTGCATGAATTGGGCATAAAATGTGCTCTGAACGTCATCTAAGTCACAACAATAGAAGAACACAGTCTGCTGAACATAATACTACACAAACATTAGATGTTGCCATGGTTTAATTGCACATAACATGTAAACATTCACAGTGCGGGGAGGAAAAAGTATGTGAGGCCCTAGCTTAATTAATTCTCCCAGAGCTAATTGGAGCCAGGAGTGAGCCAACCTTGACTCCAATCAGTGTGATGATATTGGATGTGTTGCTGACAGCTGTCCTGCCCTTAAAAAACACACACCTCTTTTGGGTTTACTGGTTTCAAGAAGCACTGTCTGATGTGAACCATGCCTCGCAGAAAAGAGCTCTCAGAAGACCTACGATCAAGAATTGTTGACTTGCATGAAGCTGGAAAGGGTTACAAAAGTATCTCCAAAAGCCTTGATGTTCATGTGGTAAGACAGACTGTCTACAAATGGAGAAAGTTTAGCACTGTTGCTACTCTCCCTAGGCGTGGTCGTCCTGTAAAAATTATATATGTGTGACTTGCGAGCCAAACCTACTAAATTAGTTCAATGGATCGCCAACATTAAACACATAACTTCAACTGTGCAAATTAATATATCTATAAATGTAGCGCTCCTTATTACCACAATAACAAATTAATATATCCCTTCTGTAATATAACACACCATAAATTTAAACTAAGAAATCAATTGTAACAAGTGACAGTGTTACATAATCAAAATATTGTGACACAAAACAATTTGAAATTTTAAATAATAGTTCCATCAATCAATATAGTCCAATATTAGTGATAAGGTGATCAGTAATCATCAATTTGTGACTTTCCGTGAATCCTCCAACTGATAAAGATGTATGCTCACCTCCTTTAATGCCTAAAATTAGGCTATACACACTTGTGGTTCACCATCCTTGGAACCTGCCAGAATTATTTCTCTATAGAATAGTTGTAAGATCCTTTCTTATGGATTAATGCAGTTATCCTGTGTGAGCTGCTTATACCTGCAGGGATTGATCCCTCCTTCAGATGTAATATATCACCTGCTACTCCTCCTTATTCGTTCCTCAGCATACAAAAAGAAAGTGGACACATAGTGCTTTATCCTTAAAACATATATTTTATTTCCACAATCCAGGTAAATCACACTCACATTTAAAATGTATAAAAAGCGCTCAGTATCATGAAAGCCTGTGCAAGCCGCTGAGGCATGTACTTGCCGTCTGCCGTTTTGCTCTTTCTCCTTCTGAGTGACGTCATAGCCCCACCCCTACGTGTTATGCCACAGGTCACATGGCTTCATCAGGGGGTTGTGATCGGTTGTTTTGTGTCACAATATTTTGATTATGTAACACTGTCACTTGTTACAATTGATTTCTTAGTTTAAATTTATGGTATATTATATCACAGAAGGGATATATTAATTTGTTATTGTGGTAATAAGGAGCGCTACATTGATAGATATATTAAACGTCCTGTAAAAATGACTGCAAGAGCACAGCGCGGAATTTTGCATGAGGTAAAGAAGAATCCCAGAGTGTCAGCTAAAGACCTATAGAAATCTCTGGCACATGCTAACATTTTTGTTGACACATCTACAATAAGGAAAACATTAAACAAGAATGGAGTACATGGGAGGACACCATGGAGGAAGCCATTGCTGTCCAAAAAGAATATTGCAGTACGTTTGAAGTTTGCAAAAGAGCACCTGGATGTTCCACAGCACTACTGGCAAAATATACAGTGGACAGATGAAACCAAGATTGAGTTGTTTGGGAAGAACACACAACACTATGTGTGGAGAAAAAAAGGCACAGCACACCAACATCAAAACCTCATCCCCACTGTAAAACATGGCGGAGGGAGCATCATGGTTTGGGGCTGCTTTGCTGCCTCAGGGCCTGGACGGATTGTTGTCATTGATGGGAAAATGAATTCCAGAGTTTATCAAGACATTTTGCAGGAAAACGTACGACCATCTGTCCGCCAACTGAAGCTCCGCAGAGGATGGGTGATGCAACAGGACAATGACCCAAAGCATACAAGTAATTCAACAAAACAATGGCTGCAACAGCACAGAATACGCCTTCTGGAGTGGCTCAGTCAGAGTCTTGACCTCAACCCGATTGAAATGCTGTGGCGTGACCTTAAGAGAGCGATTCACACCAGACATCCCAAGAATATTGCTACACTGATACAGTTTTGTGAAGAGGAGTGGTCCAAAATTACTCCAGATCGTTGTGCAGGTCTGATCTGCAACTACAGGGAACGTTTAATTGAGGTTATTGCTGCCAAAGGAGGGTCAACCAGTTATTAAGTCCAAAGGTTCACATACTTTTTCCTCCCTGCACTGTGAATGTTTATATGTTATGTGCAATTAAACCATGGCAAGATCTAATGTTTGTGTAGTATTATGTTCAGCAGACTGTGTTCTTCTATTGTTGTGACTTAGATGAAGTTCAGAACACATTTTATGCCCAATTCATGCAAAACTCCACGTAATCCCAAGGGGTTCACATACTTTTTCTTGCAACTGTATATCTAGTCATTGAAGTTTATACTGGTGATGTACTCTGATCAATGATGAATGCCCAGAAGCCTAATACCAACATGCTGATCTGATCTCTGTCATAGGGATCATTTACTTGTAGATTTAGTAAGAGGCCATTGTTTCTTGTGGTGAAGGGCACAAGGCGTTTGGTCGTCCATTCAATATTTAATCACTTGGAGGGTGAAGAGTTGCAAGCTCCACTTGATTTGAACTATTCCTGGTTTGCTTCATAGCATGTGGATGATATTCACATTTATTGGACTGCATGATGTTATAACTATTATAGACTTTTGTTTGTTCATTTATTGAAGATTCATTTTAACAAATAGCTTGCTTGGGAAGCACACTTATTATATGTATTGTGACAGTGTGACGATCTGTCACCCAGGATTCTCAACTAGGCAGGTTGAGGGGCTCCATGGTAAGTGTTTGATACGGAAGAAAGTGGCTTTTCACTTTCCTCCTTTGTTTGTAAGGTCTGTTTTGGGATCTGGAGCCTGGAGATTTCAAAGAGATCTGGGAGGGATGAAATCTCCAATCCTGGGACCAGGTTATGGGAATGGCCAGGAGGCTGATTGCACAGGTGTGTGCAGGCCTTTGGATAGGAGTCAGGAGGGCTCCACCCCGGCAGCTAGGAGTCAGCAGGGCTCCACCCCGGCAGCTAGGAGTCAGCAGGGCTCCACCCTGGCAGACGGGAGGTCTCTGCCTTGGAGTCAGGTGGAAGCCAGACTAGCTGTGTGCTAGTGGCTATAATTTGGGAAGAGTCTGCAGGAGACAGACATTGAACTGTGTGTAAGCCAGGAGGCTGAATTGTTGTTTTGTTGGTGGATACCCCTGTGTGGGAAGCATTATGTTATGGGACATTTTCATTTAAATAAAAGTGGGCTAAAAAAGGCCTTGAAAAATAAGCGAGTAGCTGTGTGCGTTTAAAAGCTCTACCACGTTGAAGCGAGTTCCCACATATGGTTGAGGATGCAGTGGGCAGAATTGGAGATCCCAGCGATTGAAGTAAGTTCATCAGTTATATGAACTGTTTGGTGCATAAGTCTGCACTATCTGTGTGTGCAGGTGAGGAGAACCTGCTAGTGAAAAGGACTTTGCCTTAAAGAGACAGTGTTCCATGGTGTTGCTGAACTGTGTAACACACTGCTGTGTGCATGACTGCAAAGATGGGGCGGTCAAAACAGAAAAAGGAGGCAATGTTTGCTGAAATGAGAGAGAGAGCCCTGTGGCTAGGGGGTTATATACCGCATGCCCCAGCCAAGCTGGGAAATTTAGATGTGGGTGAATCTGCTGTGGACTGGTGCAAGCGGCACCTGGCAGCATTG